GGGGCCTCCACGCCTGTGACTCTGCGTCGGGGACACCACGCCTGTGACTCTGCGTCGGGGACACCACGCCGGTGACTCTGCGTCGGGGACACCACGCCGGTGACTCCACAGGCAATTGACTCTGCATTGATCCCTAATAGTGCGTCCCTCTTAGTGCAGGTTACACGGCGCCTGAAGCACAGCATTCATTAGTATGAATCTTGCCCTCGACCCAAAGATTTTTGAAATTTTGCTGCTTTTATCTGATGAGAGTACAAAAAAGTCCTTTCTTAGGCGTCATCTTCACGTTTTGGTCCGAGAGTCCTGCTTCCTAGAAGAATCCATAAGAATGCCAGGGGATACAGCTATACTCTGCCGTTTGCTCTTATTCCACTCAACTGGGGGCTTTTTTTACAGAACTGATACAGCCCCCATGGGCCTCAGATTTTATGAAGCACTTTAAGTGTTTAGGTTTGAGTCGGATCCTCACCCAGGTCTTGGTATCTAGGGCAACAGCTCTTGTTGTAATTAGTCAGATAAGACCCCACCTTCCAGGGGGAGATGACCACTGTTACATTTGGATTGCTAAATTGTTATTTGTATCCGTGTGTGTGTTTGTCAGTGTTTTTGTGTGAGTCTGTATATGTGTGTGTCAGTGTTAGTGTGTGTGTGTGTGTGTGTGCCTGTGTCTGTGTGGGGGGGGGGCATCTCTCTGGTTCTGGTACTCTAAGCTCTGATTCGGTGGCGGCTTCTTAAATGAATTAGCTGATGGGATAAACAAACAAACAAACAAACAAATAAACAATGCAAAAACAACCAAATAATAATCCTAGGATATGCCGGTCGTTTGGCCAGTGGAAGCGTATTCTGAGAATGACACCCACGCCGGTCTTCAAAGTTTACAAACGAATATATTAATATATTAACCTTTATGTAACATTTTTAAGTGACCCTTCTTTTACTTTTTCGGCGGAAGGATTGATTGGTTTTATCGAATCAGTTCCCTGAAACTCAGATGAACGGCTTTCTGTTGTGTGAGTAACACAGATGTTAACTCTCAATAACCAAACGGGGCGCCAGTGTTTCAGGCCTGAATGAAATATGAATCTATATCATCTAGCTGAGACCCAGGACCATCATGTATATAAAACCATAATCATGTGGGAATGGGAATGAATGGGGGGATAGAAGCAGAGATGGGATTAATCAAAATGTGGACAGGAATGAAAAAACACAAGGAAACATTTTAATTTATTTTAACAGATCCAAGGTTGGCGTCGCTCTGCCAATCTTGCCACTCGAATTGGTGCTGAGCCAGACCCCAAAACAACTGCTAGCAGTGGGATTCGAACCCATGCCCCCAAAGAGACTAAAACCTTAATCCAGCACCTTAGACCACTCAGCCACACTACCTCACAAAACAAAGATGCCAATTAGTCAGTTAGGGGTAGGGGGGGGGTGAGAGTAGGTGTGAGCTTCCTGAGAGCGAGATCAAAAGAAATCACTAATGTAAGGAAGGAGGTCATCAGCTGACTTTGCCATATTCTGAAACAACCAAATGCCCCCCCCCTCCCCCCATTAATATGAACGTGGGTCACTCTCTCATAGGTCCCCAACCTTTGCAGCTCAGGATCCCGGAAATAAAAATGTCAGAGACTTGCAACCCACATTTGTGACTCGGGGGTGGGGGGGGGGGGCTCTCTATTGACAGATTAATTGCTATGACCGGTTGCTGTTACGATTAAAATGTAATGTTACTACCAAATGCAGCGGCCATGTTTACCACCAGCCAAACCAAGCATCTGCATGAGGCCCTCTGTTTGGCCACAAACAGTCACTACACTGGCTCTGTTGGCGGTTACCCCAAGGTGAGTTTTTGACGTGGGCCCCCAGAGACACGCCCATCCCTGATCACATGACTTTGCTGTTCCCGTCATATGAGGACTGTGAAAACCTACCGAAGAAGAACCTGCTCTTTAAAGAGTTAGTCATACTTCACGACAACTTGGGAAACTTTTAAAAGTCCGCCTTTTGTAAGTGCACATAATCTCGCTTTGTGAGAGACACATTTCCCAGGCTGCTCGTCCTAAATTGCACATTTATATTCTCAAAGATCAAAATCACACGCTGCCTCCTTGCAGACTTCCAAAAGGTCTGCTGCACTCACTCTCAGAGATAATCTATGTGATTTCTGCGGCCTCATAACTAGTTCTAGATTAACGTAGTGCTGTCACATATGAACTTTTCACTGCTACTATTAATGTTAAAACTCTGAGAACCACTTTGAAGTAAGTATTCCTGCGCTCAATCAATGGAGGAGCCCCCCTCCTCACCTTCCGGCGCATTCCGAGGTGCTTTAATGGGACAGGCAGAATTGTGTGTTGCCAGCCGTGTTCGGCGTAAGCCAACCGCGTTCCCTTAATGGGTGGGGGGGGGGGGGGGGCGTCGGGACTAGCTGCCATTGTGTCCCCTTAAAAGTAGAAGAGGAGGCAATCTGACCCCAGAATTAACAGTCCTGCCTGTCAGCTGTCATGCTAATAGAGAGCTTTCCGGGTCTGAGAATTGCTGCCATTGCACTCCCCCTCCCTTTCATTGGGTGCTAATGGCTCCGATATTGGAGGCTCACTCAGTGTCCCCCCCCGCCCCCAGTCTGAGTGTTATTTTCCTCAGTATTTTTTTTTTTTTTTTTT